ATGGTAAATGGTCTTATACTTGTATAGCGCCTTTCTATGCTTTTACAGCACACTCAAAGCGCTTTCACATTATTCGGCCATTCACCCATTCGCACTCCCAAGCACTCACACACCGGTGACATCACCAGGAGCAACTGCGGGTTCAGTGTCTTGCTCAAGGACACCTCGACATGTTGACTGGACAAGCCGGGAATCGAACCGCTAATCCTTTGGTTAGGAAACGACCCGCTCTACCTCCTGAGCCACAGGGTTTTACTGGACTAGATTATATTCAGAGATATCTCTAAATTTTTGTCCTCTCCAGCTACACCTCTGAATATACTGCAGTCCATTAATTATGACCTCAATAATAAACCAACCAAATTGAATTTATACATTTAAGAAAATTTCACCAAAAAAAAAAACAAAAAAAAAAACATTTTGAGCTTAGAAACACAGATGTTAAGGCAGAAGTATTGCACTGAAGCACATGCAATTGTACAGGTGTACCTAATAAAATGGCCACTCTTTCAATCTATACCCAAATTTGAGATCCAACAGCATAATAACATAAACAAGCAAAGCCAATATAATATAAAATAAACTACCGTATTTGAAATATTTCATAGTTAAAACACTGACAATGGAAAAACGCAGTCATCTTAAGGTAACTGGCAGTATAAACAGTATACAAATAAACTATGCTCAGGAAAGGGGACACATGTTGTCAGGCAACTTCTTTCAGGAAAGACTTTAATAAAGTCACAGGAGCACATTCTTTCACTCTGCTGTCATTCTTTGCGTAGACCTCTGAAACTAATATTGGTTCAGTTTACAGAAAAAAAAAAAAAAAGAGAGACTGGCAGTGGCAGTGAGAAAAGGCAGATATATCATTTAACTTTGTGCAAACAGCAAATCAAGAGACTGAAGGCCACACACATTTATTCTGCACTGTATGCACAGACAAATGCCAAACCAAAACAAGCCTAAGAAACAGAGTGGCAGTGCATTCACATGCAGGCAGAGACCCTGAGGTTAGGCACAAGAAGCACTCTGAGGTGTTGCCAACCTGAAGCCTGAGGAAGGCACAGGGAGCCTCCACACTTACCAGGAAATAAGACTAGTGTTTGGAGTGGTGTGCAACAGAGTGATCACACACTAGAGAGTAGAAAGATACAGCTTCTGTGAAACTGAGGTGTGATGATTTATGATGCATTGCATCATCGCTGAGGTGTGAAGTGATGATTTATGATGCATTGCATCATCGGCCCCACCTACTTTTCACACTTCGCTTCCATCTAGATCAAAGACTTGTCAATTTTTAATGTTTTATGGTGTGTAATTACAGACTTGAAAGGATTTCGCACTTAGGTGTTACTTTCACTTAAGCACTGATGTAAAAGCAGCTTCACATGCAATTGTACAGGTGTACCTAATAAAATGGCCACTCTTTCAATCTATACCCAAATTTGAGATCCAACAGCATAATAACATAAACAAGCAAAGCCAATATAATATAAAATAAACTACCGTATTTGAAATATTTCATAGTTAAAACACTGACAATGGAAAAACGCAGTCATCTTAAGGTAACTGGCAGTATAAACAGTATACAAATAAACTATGCTCAGGAAAGTGGACACATGTTGTCAGGCAACTTCTTTCAGGAAAGACTTTAATAAAGTCACAGGAGCACATTCTTTCACTCTGCTGTCATTCTTTGCGTAGACCTCTGAAACTAATATTGGTTCAGTTTACAGTAAAAAAAAAAAAAAAGAGAGACTGGCAGTGGCAGTGAGAAAAGGCAGATATATCATTTAACTTTGTGCAAACAGCAAATCAAGAGACTGAAGGCCACACACATTTATTCTGCACTGTATGCACAGACAAATGCCAAACCAAAACAAGCCTAAGAAACAGAGTGGCAGTGCATTCACATGCAGGCAGAGACCCTGAGGTTAGGCACAAGAAGCACTCTGAGGTGTTGCCAACCTGAAGCCTGAGGAAGGCACAGGGAGCCTCCACACTTACCAGGAAATAAGACTAGTGTTTGGAGTGGTGTGCAACAGAGTGATCACACACTAGAGAGTAGAAAGATACAGCTTCTGTGAAACTGAGGTGTGATGATTTATGATGCATTGCATCATCGGCCCCACCTACTTTTCACACTTCGCTTCCATCTAGATCAAAGACTTGTCAATTTTTAATGTTTTATGGTGTGTAATTACAGACTTGAAAGGATTTCGCACTTAGGTGTTACTTTCACTTAAGCACTGATGTAAAAGCAGCTTTCAACTGTTGTAGCTGGTTGAGGTGGAGCTCTGCTGAACTATTTTGTATCCAAGTACAGCTATTGATTAATTTCATTAGGGATTAAAATGATGATTATTTTCTCCATTAATCAACTGAAGGTTTGTAAAGCTTCTGGCAATAGTGAGAAATGCCATCACAGTGCCCTAAACAGTTATCACAACAGTTGCACTGTGCGACAGTGCAGCCACAACAATCACCTCTGTTACTTCACTCACTCAGTTTGTGTGCGTGCGTGTTTCTGGGTTCAGATCACAATCAGTGTAAGTCAGAGATTAGAGAACAAACAGACAATGTGAAAAACTATTCCGTTTTATGACGGACAGTTAGACGCTTGGGATTAAAGTTATAAATGTTCTTGAAGGTGCTCATTTATAGTCTATCCAAAGTAATCCTGCAGTTTTTAATTTCCTTTTCGGGTGATGGAGCTTGTTGATAGGCTATCAGCTTCCTTCTGTCTGCCATTTGTCTGCGTGTGTTGCCTGTTGCAAAGTCTGACAAGCAGTCGAGGAAGAAAGGTGTGCATGCATTGCGCTTTTTTTTTTCTTCAGTACCAGTAATAAGGAAATGTGCATGGTCAGTTTTCACCATGGTATACGCTGAAGCCGGTATACCGCTGACCCTAACCATAAATCAGCAGTCAAAACCTTCTGTCAAAGTGAAAGTAATACCCAACTGTGATCATAAAACAATAAAAATGGACAAGTCTTTGTTCTAGACAGAAGCAACGTGTGAAAAGTAGGAGGAGCCGATGACATCATGGGCCATAAGTCATCACTTCACACCTCAGTTTGACAGAAGCTGTATCCCTATACTCTCTTTTGCAAACACTCTTGCAAAAACACTGTGCACTACTAAACCAGTCAGCACAAACCTTTAAGTACTGTTCATGGAACATGACTACTAAAGCAGTTTAAAATAAAATTATGAAGGGTATTACAGTGATGATATTAATTCTGAAGACTGTGTTATTGTGAGTACAGTCTATGTTGAAACATTCATGATTCCAGGTTTTACTCACAGCAGCACACTCTGTATTACTTTAACACCCACAAACTTTGATGTGTTATCTCTGAGACAATGGATAATTTAATAATGCTTCTGTAAGCATCTACACTTCACTGTACTTTCCACTTGAGTGGATTTGGATTGAACTGTCCACAAAATCTGGTGGTTTCTTTATGGCGCACACAAAAAATGTCACTATTCTGCCAATATACACAGAACTAATGCTTTCAGAGTTTCCTACAGTACAATAGTCTGATGAAAGGAACTTCCATAAGTTCACAACAAAATTTTCAAAAATAAGATTTAACCCCAAAAGCGCACATACACGAGGCAACAAGGGGAATTAGAAATGTGATCATAGCTTTGCGAAAACTGACACTAAAACACAAAAGATATTCTAAAAATATTACTAGGACAAGGCGGCAAAGGCCACCAATTATTTATCTTCAGCCCAAACTGACATTTGTTGTGTCTGTGAATGTTTAAAAATGCTGCATCTAGAAATAATTGCCAATATGCGGAGTGACTGATGAAGACAAAACTCACAGATGCCACAAGATGAATGAGAGGAAAGCAGATTTAATCAGAACGTGACAGGCCCCCAGTATGTGTGTAAAGTAGTGATTCTCCAGTCAACGCCTACTACTGTGTATGCATCCATCGGTGATGCGGTCTGTGGAGCATATACAATGGTAGGGTGATGGAGAATGGACTCCGTACATAATTTTTACAATGAGATTCACTATACAACATCTGTACCTTCTATGAGCAACTCTTGGCCATGGCTACCCAGCAGGGTGCGTGACAGAAATGGTGCAAAGTCCACAAAGATCTCTCTCAGCAGAGGTGCCACCTTCTCCAAAGCCCGCTCCAGCTTTGTAGTAATACTGTCAAAGAGAACACATCAAGACAGAAGTCACAAAAGGAAATTAGACACACGCAAAAATTTAAGGGACATGATGTTTCATCAAGAGCAGGACAGGAAAAGAGGAGTAAAGGAGTGAGAGTCTCACAGTCAATCCAGAGCACACAGCTAACAGCAGTTAGTGTGTAGCCAGACTGTCAGTGTCCTGGTGGGTGCAGAGGGTAAACAATACATTTCAGAGGATGAAAACCAAAACAGATATCCCATAAGGCTATGTTTGCTATCACTGGGGATTTATAAAAAAAAAAAAAAAAAAAAAAAAAAAAATTTTTTATTTATTTATTTATTTATTTTTACTGAAAGAGGACTTCTCACTAGTTGTTTGCATTCTTTGTGACATGTTACCAGACTTGCACATGAGATCACAGTTGTTCAGTGCTGCAGAGGGAAGTTCCTTATCTTCTGCACACTCACTACATGCTGCTGGCTGACACTATCTCACACCTCAGAGAAACAGTGACTGGAGTCATGCAGCCATACAAGTCAGACTGTATACAAGCAGAGATACGACTCAAGCTGTAACATATCTCTGTGCTCCGATGTGTATACACACAGGTACTAGGCAACATGAGGAAGGTTAAAGCTTGTTTTCCCAGCTAAGATATGCAGAAAACAGCAGGATAGAGAAAACCAGAGAGAAAGGTTTGCTTTAAGTTTTTTATGATTGTGTAGTGTAAAGTGCCTTCCCGCGCCCTGGGAAAACACAGCAAAGGAATGACAGACTAGCATAAAAAAGTAGAGTGCAGTGTAGGTGGCTAACATAAATGTCCTTGCCTAAGACACTGGCCTGCCCTTCTGGAGGGTGCCTGTAATCCTGTCAAGGAACTAAAGGGTTTGAACTCGGGAGATGTCAGTCTCTGGTGTAGTGGACACTGGTCCACCTCGCAAACGCCACTGAAACAGAGAAAAAAAGAAACCACAGGCGGTATTTCCTTCTTGCTGCCTTGTGATTTAAGGGTTGGGTTCATGAACAAAAGCTATAACTATAAATATAAAAGACCTAATTATAATCATATTTTTGTTGTTTTCAGTAGAATGGAGCAGGCAAATCAGCTTCGATGTATGTTCTTCATCTAAAATGTAACTTAGGAGTGAGCAGGCTCTGCAGTGAGATAGTACTATCATTGACTTCACAGTTACGCTAAGTGATGTCAGTTACTGCTGCCATGGCAACTGAATGTCTATTCCTCTAGCAAAACACACTGAGGCAGAGAGAGAGAGAGAGAGAGAGAGACAGCCTGAAGAAAGACCTGGGCTCTCAGCAGTCAGTGGGAGAGCATCTGTCACACACTATTAGAGCAAGTGAGGAAGATGAGCCAAGGTCACAACAGGATGTACACACAGAAATTTACATAAAGAATTAGTGCAAACTTTGCTGTAGTGTTCACATAACGCTACCTCAGTTTTATTTAGTATTTAGTTTTGACTATGAAGAGTAATGAGAAAAGAAAATGTGTAAAAGTACCAAATTATTGTTCATTAAAGGTGAGCACCGCAGTAGAGCTCAAATTGTTGTTAGCCATCGGATCACGTAAAAGACATCAATGAATTCACAGAAAAGCTAAGTTTTGAAAAAAAAATGAAATGAGAGAAGAAACTGGGGCAAAAATAAAGATACACAACTTTATACATGAGTAGATTTTGTGACACAAACGGAATAAAGCGTCATTACTGACACAGGAAATAAGAGCAAGGGTAAATCGAGAGGGCCCTGCTGTACCTCATGTTTTCTACTGTGTCTTCAGGCATGGGGGCCACCGTCTGCACGGCGGGCAGATTTTTACTTGTGGCTCCACTGACAAAACTGGAGGAAGAGGAGGTAGAGGGGGCTGCATCTGTGGCTCCTGCAGGAAAAACCAAAACATTAGTCCAGGGCAGAAGTAATTACATTTGTTATATGTATTTCATTTTGAATCTTCTAAAGAAGTGATGATTAATTATTAAGTAACCCAAACCTACTTAATAGTTTTTTAGTAAGTATGTTAATGATACTACAGTTATGTTGTCAGAGATTAAATTTAATATTGAATCTTAAAAACATGAACTATGTTGACTGAAACTATATTAGTGCCATTGCCTGAGGCTGAAAATTCACGTGATGGCACACAGACTGAACTAATTGAAAAAAGAAGAAAGAATGACAAGTTTTAAAACTAGCCACGATCTGGCTCCTGACAGTAGACTGCAGCAGTCAGCAAAAATTTCAACCAAGTCAAACAAATGAAAACATAGTAACAGTGTCAAACCAAGTCTTTACCTAAACCCAAGTAGACCTAAGATGGTTGTTCAAACTGGTGCCAGGAGCAGCATATGGAACTATTTTGCTTTATAAGACATATCAAAACAACACCCGCATCAAATCTTTACATATTATACTTAGTTTTGGTATCAAAGCCAAAATTAGGTTATCGTGACAATGGTAATTCAGAGGTGAGCATTAAGTTACGTCTTCTTGGCAGCACATGCCCCAGTATAAAATCATTGTAACTGTCCTTGTGAGAGGTTAAAACCAGAACAAGTGAGATCACTGGGTCTGGATGAGAGCCTGTGGCTTTAGCTGAGAGCACACTTTGACTTGGATATATTTCTCACATTCCTGCAGGGGCTCTCGCAGAGGAGAGGAAGATTTTTTCTTTTACTGGAGCACATTAAAAAGGTGTTGGAGCTCCTAATGGTGCTTGGTGTTAAGTGGGTCCTTTCAGAGGCTGAGACTAGGAGCCCTGAGGTGGAACCAGTTCAATGCAGCACAGCCCCAGGAGAAGGAATGTGACAGCGGCGGGAGGAGGAGTGGCACGCTGTCAATCAGACAGGAACTCACACAGGAAAACCATGTGTAGAAATTCCTTTTTTCTACTAAAATATACATACCTGTATATTACAAGTAGATAAAAATTGAGCTGCTTAATTTGGTTGTATCAGGAGGGATTCTAGTGGCTGAAGGACAACAGTTTTCAATTGCTTGTGTATAGTGCTGCTGTTGACACAGATAGGAAGGTAAAGAGGGCCATCTAGTGGTAAGATAGAGGCCCTGCACAAGGATACAGGTTCATATGATCCAGCAGAGGGAAAACCCTTTAATTCTATTCTTAATAGGCTCCAGTGAAAGAAAAAAAAAAACTGTCATTAAGATGAATAGTAAATTTTCAAACAACTATAAAGAAGAAAGTATAAGATATATTCAGTAACCTTGTGTATGCCTTACCCGTGGTGTTGATCATGCTTTTGGAGGTGATAGATGCAGTAGCAAAGATGTTGGGGGTGCTGCCGGCTGTTAGCCCAGCAGACGTACTGCTGCTACTTCCCACCGTGTTAACTGTAAGGCTGCCGGGAGAGGCTTTCTTCACAGGCACCACCACACTCCTACAGGAAACACACACAATATGTTTCATTCATACATGCAGGTAAATATGAACAGTTAAAATATTAAAAATAGAAAATAGTGTATACTGCTACAGAGCAAGCAACAAATGCCAAATGGATGCAAAAAGGACAGCTGAATACAGTGAGTGGAAGAAGCTGGTGGTTGTGGGGGTTTGCCCTGTTTAGCAGGTATCTTCCCTGCCTTACCCTTGAGCAAGACACCACACCCCTAACAGCACCAGGGCGATATAGCAACCCCAGGCGGTAAGTGCAAATTCAAAGTCTGATAACGTCATAAAATTATTCATATATTCTGATGTATAGTATAGATATATTAATATAAAAATCACTGAATTATAACTGGGGATGAAATATACATTTCAGCTTTGTCAAAAAGTTCTAGTTGGACCCAAAGCCCAATAATTAAGAGCTGGAATTTGCAAGCTAGCTTTGGACTGGGGTGTGAGATCAAATTAACCTGTCATATATAAATGGAACAGGCATTTCGGCCCCGTTTCTAGGACAGAGATTCAAGGATTTTGTTTGACATTCAATTTAGCTGTTATCTTCAGACCATAAAGGGCAACATTCAACAATTCATTCACGTTTTAGAAGAAAAAAAGACTGTTAATGATTGTCTCTATCTCTTATATTCCAAGAACCAGCCAGCATGGGTTTGCCCAGACATTAGTCAAGACGTTAAGAAAGGTAAACATCCTGACCTGTAACTCCATCTTTCAACATAACACATGCAATAAGACACACACACACACACACACACACACACACACACACACACACACACACACAATGGTAAAGTAAATAAACCTGAGGGCAAAAGGCCAGTCAGAAAATGACTACACTTTCCCTCACATCTGTTCTTGCCACCAGTAGCCCTCTGCTATGCTTGGAAGAGCTGAAACCATCCCTGAACCTAATGAGAGGCTCTCCATGAGCAACCTGGCAGTTGTTACTGCCAGACATTTGAATCGTCTGTGGGAGAATTGCAGCTCATTGACCATGAGATTCAAGCCGTTGCTATTAGACATTTGATTTGCACACACACACACACAGAGCAGAATCTGTTTGTGACAGAAAGTTGCACATTGTCTTATAAAAATCTTCAGTATATATTATTTTCCTAGACACTTGGGCTGACACTTTTGCAAAACAGACACAAAATATGGAACCAAATAACTGTAAAATCAGAATAAAGCATATATCAAGAAGGGACCTAAAAATAACAGTGGTTTCCCTTTTTATTTATAGAAGACAGGCTCCTAAATGAAATGTGAAGAAAAGCTTGTGCAGGCTTGAGATGAAAGAAACAGATCTCATGGAAAAGTGCGGGAAAGCACAGAAACAACCTACCAGACCTCTGTTCACATGAAGTCTGATTGGCCAAGGATTAAAGTTGATTCAGTGAACTTGGCCCTGCAGGAGCTCCCTGACAGGAAAGAGAAGGAAAGCTTGTCCTTATCAGGCCGGCAGTTGGCCTTTGGGTTTGTGAGGGCAAAAGATAATGCCTTGTCCAATCTCCTGCAGTTACTCTGGGTGACACAGGCCAGGCCTTTGTTCTGTCACGAGCTAAGTCTGCTGTCATCTGACCCAAATCCCAGAAACCCTCCCTCAACAAAACAACACAGACTTTTAGTCTTTTACACTGCTTTTGTATATCCACAGTCCATCTCCATGCTGGACTCCATGGGAAACAAACCTAACTTGACCTTGATGTTTTTCAGGCTTTATTTATTAATTTATCTTAAGCACTTTTGTACAGTGCAAACAGGCTTCTCAAAATGATCAAATTAATGATGTTTTAATGGACAAAATAGCTGTGCAGTTTTTCTCTGTGGATAAAATACATAGATATTTTATATGACACCTAACAGGAATACAATACCTAAAATAGTAGCACAATAATAGGTTTTAAAAACTTAGCAGATGAAAATCCAGTCAATCAAGAGAATCAGAGAAACACTTTAAAGCTTCCTCATACATTATCTACAGCGATATAACTGTGCTATGAAAAAGAGTGATGACGCGTATCATTTATTTACTAGATCTTTGTGCTCTCCTCCGTGAAATCTCATTGACAGGTATCAGAATATCAATTGCACTTTTTGATTGCAGAATCTGGGTTCAAATTTCATCTTGACTTCAAAATTTTTCCCTTGCTCACATCTTCCAGCGGAAACCTGCCCGTTACATTAGATCTACAGGATGTAGAAAAAACATGAACCTCTCAATGAATAATTCATTAGCTGAGTGCTCATAAATAATGTATAATTTGTCTTGCACATATTTTATTAATAGGATTGTCTTAATTGAGTTGCAGAGAATAAAGCAAGGATTAATCTTGGGATGAATATTAATGAGGTCTGTGGCTGTGGGAGATGACTGCAGTGTAAAGTATAAAAAAGAAAAGCTTCCTTTAAAATCCCCCAGACGAAATCTAATCTTCTTTTTTTTCAGGAATACAAGGAAAGATACAGAAGAAACGTGCTTATATTCCACTTGCAAATTCAATTAAACAAATTACTGTTGCTCTCCATGGGAAATATCAAATATGTAAGGACAGCAATACTGTATCTCACATAGCTAATTTGAATACTTTCTGAGAAAGAGAGGGCAAAGGGAGGAATGATTACTAAAGAATTTCTGTACTGTATTCCCATCTGCTCTAACAGAAGTCTGGATGTTGAGCAATTTAAACCACTTCGGTATGAAAGTCTCTAGCAGAAGAACCTCTGCAGTGACTGCCCCTGTGCACTCCACTTTTTTTTTTTTGATGTTGTCACTCCCAATCTATCTAATCCCTGACAGACAAATGAAAGGCCCGTCCATGGCTGGCAGCTCATTTCAGTGGCAGGTGGCAAACAATTAGACACGGCAAATAGAAGCTGGAAGGGAGTGACATGAAAAGCATGAGGCAAAGTTGTATATGTGGTCAGGAGGGTTTGTGTGAAAGCATTTCAAAAATAATACACTTTGCCGTGGCGACTCATTTCAGGCTGCCAGTTCCTATTACAGGGTGTGAGTGGTGAGGGCGACAGGGCTGGCCGTGGTGTGGTGCGAGGTTGCTTCTGTTTAATCTGTCATCAACACCCTGGAGACCCCCACCCTCTCAGCTGTCCTCTCTCCATATACTCCTCCATCTTCTCCCCTATTCATCAGGCTCACCTCAGCAGCAGCATGAATGCATTAGAAAGAAGAGAGGCCCCATTGTTCTCCCTGACTCAGTCTGTCCTCTGCCTTCTTTCTGAAGCTTGGCAGAGTCCACAAAGACATATGAAAACTTGATCAAATCCGTGGTGTCCAGAGGCTAGGGAGAGTTTCTGTCTGTGCTAAACCTACACAAATTATTTTCAGAAAAATTATGATTTTCAAAACTTTTCAACCATAGGAGGCAAGGATCAGGGGAAAGCTGAAGCCTGAAATCCCCACAGGAGCAGGTTTCTAAACTCCAAAATCCAGACAGATTACTGTGGGGCTTTATCTAATCCATGAGTGTAAATAAACAACAGCAGCGCCACAGTGATTCAGAGACCTTTTCAAACACAGGAATCCCTTGCCATCAGGCATGAGAACAATACATGTGGTCTGAAACAAATAATGTGTCAGATCCTACTTAAGAAGCATTAGCCTGTATTCTGGATAACTAAAACAAACCTGGAGTATTACCATCAGCCTTCTGTGGTTGCTTGAGCACTAGCATACATGAACACGAGTACAAGAGTGCATGTTCACACACATGGGGACTTTACATTGAATTACAACCATTTCCTGGACATTTAACCTAACCTAAACTTAACCTTAACCTTAAACCAAGTCGCCGCCCAGTCATCTAAATATATTTTCTCAGCAATTTCTCAACACACGAGGGTTAAATTCTATACTGTAAAGAATAAATAGAAACTAATGGATGAAATTGTTGGAAAAATACATCCAAAAAGCATCAGCAAAGGTTGCAAAATGTTTAAATGTGATGTAAAGTCTAAGTGATTTGAAGCAATTGCAACATGTACTGTATTTGTGACTGTGATTCTGACTGTGATTCTCTGCACAGCAGACTACCAACCTGTCAAATGAGTGGAACTGCAGGGGTAGCATGGCCTGGGCCTTGGCAGCAGGGTCTGGGTAGGATACAGGCTCCAGCCCAGTCTCTATGCCCTCCACTGGAGCTGCCACCAGACTCTTCAGAATCTGCTTGACATTGATGCCCTTGTTGGGCTGGCTAATGCTGATGATGGAGGAGGGTGGTTTCAGCACATCCACGCTGGGTGACTCAGACAGACTCTCTTGAGACTTCTTCACCTCTGAGGAGAGCACAGATATGAGCTCACTCATGGCGTCCGGTCCTCCAGCGCTTTGGTCCAGGTCAGACCCATTAAGGATGCTGGCTATCTGCTCGTCTCCAATCCCAGAGTCTGTGTGGGGAAGACAGCTGTCCATGTGGAGGTCTTCTGATGGCACAAGATGGTCCCTACTGCTGTTAAAGGCCAGCGTAGTTTCTGTAAAACATGTACAGAAAACATGAAGTTACAGGCAGAGACTACAGCTAGCCACCTAAAAATATATGTACAACACTAAAAGTATTATATGATAATCACTGAGTCAACAGATTATATTCTTTATACCCATTATAATTTTATAATTATTTGTGATTGATTAATCATTTAGACATCTTACAGCAAAGGAAACCAATTCTCATGTTTGAGAAGTCAGAACCATCTGTTTGGTGCTTTTATGTACTGGATAACGCTTAGTGCTTAAACTAGTATCATAAAAGTTTTTCTGTACACAATATATCACATAGTTATAATTACTCTTTCTACATGCCTACCAAATTAACATATTATTTGTCAAAAGGAATAATTTAGAAAGAATTTTTTTATATACTAATACCAATGAATATAACTGTTTTACATTTCTAGCCAAAGAGCACATTTAGCAAGTGCCAGCACAGCTTCTTCTCCCTCCAGAAGATGTGATTCCTCTGGTGAGATTATCTGTTATTCTCCTTCTGTGCTAATAAAACATGAATCCCTTTCTTCAGTTTCTTCCTGCCTAAAGGCTTGAGAGGCATGTCTATTGTCAGAGGATTGAGATACTGTATTATTATGGGACAGTATACAATGTGAACTGTACTTTTCTATATATTGTACACAGTGTGAACCAAGAACTTTGTTAAAATGTGCATCATTCTGCCTCTTCATACATTAAAAATGCATTGTCTACGTAGGAATCTTGAACTAATAAAATGTTTGTCAACTTACACCAATGCCTTTGTAGTTCTAATTTGGTTCATCCTGACTCTGCTGTTGTTAGATACAAGGCCAGCCACATTAAAATTCACTACATGCCCCCTAATAAGGTCAGCAGGGCCTGATTTCGCCAGCAAGTCGCCTGGCTTCCTGGTCCATCAGACAATTGTCTGCCACACGCCGTCTAGAAAATTCCCCCATTTTCTGGTGAAATTTATGAAGGCAGCAGTGTGCCTCTCTCCTCCCAGCAACCTCTATGATCCCATTCTCCTCTGGTGGATTGCTTGCCTAATGGGTACTGACAGATGGGGCTGAAAATAGCAAGACTGGAACCACTGCCCCAAAAACCCACAATAGTTGGCCGGCATGCTGCTGCTCTTTCTTCATTTTCTGCATTCCTACCTCTTCAAATTACACTTTCATATTTCCCTTGGCCTCTCTTATTTTCCTCTTATTTCTCTTATTTACTTCAACTTTTTTCTAAATGGAAGTTGATAAAGCATGCTCACTCGTTAATAGCAGGTTGGCAGCAGACGTTGTGTTAAACCTTGGTAGGCACTCAATTACTTCCTTTGATTGGACTTAATGTATGATTTATGACTTGAGGAATATACTACCTTTCATTTCAGAGAGTACAGTGATGCTTATGCAAGTTCATAAGTACAATTTCAAGCCCCAACTCTGTTTGCTTCCACAGTGCAATTAGCAGAGCTCATGAATAAATCATAGGTGAATGCAGGCAGGCTATCCCTGCTATTTTACTGAATGATCTCTCAGCTCAAGCTGGCAGCAGTGTATCAAAGGGCCAAGGACACATAATATTCATTTATATCAGACACTAGTGAGTAGGAATAATAGATGCAAGAAAGGTAGGGCACAGCTGTCAGCACCTTTCCTGGTTGGTGAGTTGATCTCCTGACGTAAGCTGCGGCCTGATTGGCTGCTTATCCTGGCAGTCTCACGTTGTGGCTCCAGAATGTCACGGTACTTGGAGACCATGAGGACAGATATGAAGTACACTACAGCTAATGCCAGGAACTGGACTTGCTTACTGTCATCCTGTGGAGAGGAATCACAACATGGTTATCTCTGTTCAGAAGATCGCATTTCACACAACCTACACCAGCTGTGTGAAATGGTACTTTTGCAGCAAATGCCTCTTGCATAGAGCAAGAAAACACAAAAAGTATTGCCGTTATTCTCTGACATATTTCTAAAACCTGCTTTGAAATCAATCCATTCAAATTTTGTGAGCCTATATTCAACAGACAGCAGCTCAGTCAACACAGGCACCCTTGGTGGTTCACGTTTTGACTGACGGGTGTTAAAACTGCACACCTGTTCGTGCCTATATTCATTCTCTGTCTATAGCCAAGTCCTTGTAACATGTGTGTCCCGCACATAGACCAGCACTCACCACATCACGAAACACCACAGCACGCAGTCGATTGATATCCACGTCCTGCAGAAGGCGGTCAGGGTCCTTAATGGGAGACAGGTTACTAGGGACAGTCTCTATGGCTGTCTAACCCAGAAAGATAACACAATGACATGCTGTTTAGCACCATCAGTCAGGTCACAATAATGTAAAATACATTGCATAGACAAGATTTCAATAGGAGCACAGCATCCCACCTTGCTGGAAGTCACGGCATTTTGAAGTATTTCCTGAGTCTTGTTGTTGGGAATGGAAGACTTATTTCCTTTGTCTCTGTGTCTCTGCCTGCACTCAAGACAGTTCCTAACAGCCATACAACACACTGCACACACACAGAGACACACACACACACACATACAAAACTGGCTCTCATTTCAGAAATAAATGAAAATTAAATGTTGATAACACGCATGACCTCTTTAAAACTAATCAGTTATCTCTGATGGCTATTTGTTCCAGGCTGCCGGCAACAGACACTGGGAGTAAAATCAGCAGCCAGACTGATTTCACACTGAAACCAGTGATGAGAAACTGTATGTGTGCAACAAAGGCACTGTGAAGTCTGAAGGCTATTTCCCATCCCCAAAGCTCAACTTGGAGTCAACAATCCCGCACACAGCCTCGCGCACACTGACCCACATGCTTCAAAACAGAAAAAGAGACACAAATACACAGAATTTCTGACTGCTTTATGTATCAAATAATGCTACTAAAACAAATAAGTTCTGAATTTTACAGTTGACCCAATAAAATTCACAATTTCACTTGTTAATTTAGCAACTACCTTTGCACTCAGACGTAATTACTGAAATCTCTATCATGTACACAGACATTCAAACACACACAAGGGCAGAGAGGATCTCATGGAGTTCTGTGAGAAACATCACTGACAGACACAAAGAGTACCTGATTGCACTGCAAATGATTCTCTCTGCTTGTTATGAATTCCAAAAGCTGGAAATTGCAGAAAAACCATTTACATTCTCCAATTTGTATACAATTCGCAAATGACTCTCAAAATAATTAGCTTTGCTGATCAAAAAGAGGATTTTCAGGGATCAGATTAATTATTGAAGTGTGAACAGAATACTGGCATAGCATTTTCTAGCTCGTCAATTTCCCAGAGTAGCTGGCAAAATATGCATTTTACCTTGAAAAACACCAAGTAAAGATAATTATTTTTCTCCCCTACTACACTGACTGATTTTTACATCTACAGCAGTAAATTCACAATTATGATCTTACCAAGCCTGAGGCACTGGCGCATCAGGCCACCAGAGGACATGTTCTTCTCAGCCTCAATCTCACTGAAGTTGAGGGAGCTTGAGAACACTAAAACGTCCACCATAACCATGAGACGAGACAGGAAAGTGATGGCGGTCTCTGAAGACATGCCCTGTGTTGCGTCGATGTTCTCAAAGTCCATCTTGCACAAGCAACAAGAAGACACCAGTCACAAAACAAAAGCGCACAATGTCTTCTCTGCAGTGATTAAAGCATAACTTTTTGAAGAAAAAAAACATGCAACAAAATAAGCAAAGGGGAGCCTATCACGCAAGCAAACATGATGGTGGGCGATGCTGAATTCAGGAAATAGACACTTTATGTGAAAGACTGGCCATTATTGTCACATAAGGATGAACAAGAACCCATCTCTTAGGAAGCAGAATTTTCAAAGTGATGGAGAGTTTGTTCAGTTTACTACCTAGCTCCACCCAAGGTGATATGTCACATATTGTCTTATCAATCCAAAGCAGACACCTTTGATGAAATTATCCCTACTGCACATTTTCAGATCTATTTGATGAGTACAGATGTGTTGTAAATACAATATGAAATTAGGAAGGAGAAATTAAAATAGCATAAATACTAACCTTGGCACTCTAGACATGCACAGACAAAATAAACAAAGGAAGATGATTATTTTCAATTGAAGACCTCAGATTCAATCTAATTACAGCAGAACAGTAGAAGTAAATGTGAATTACACATGAAGAAGTTAATTACAAACATAAAACTGTTTCAAAGTGATGTTTTCAGCATTAACTGTGAGCAAATAAAGGTACCCCAATCAATCTACAAAAACTCTTATTTCCACCAAGCAGTGATAATAAACTACCACTAGATGGCATCATTTCCTTTCAGTGAAGACAATGACGTGCACTTACAGAAGGAGAGGTGGCTGCTGAGAGAAGGGGCAAAATCCCTCCACAAGCAATAATGATGTTATCTACCATTTGCGAGATGAGGTGGATGGTGTTGTGGACAAAAATGATGTTTTCATTACTATTAACAAAGTCCATGACCGATTTGGTGGAGTGGCTGCAGAGAAAGGTGGGAAAACAGGTTTATTAAGTATTTTTACATTATACTGTATAACTCACAGGGCTATAATATACTGTACAACAAACAAAAAACATTTACAGAATAAACAAAAAAGACCAGGTATAATATAATATATGTCTAATACAGCAACAAAATGTTGCGTTAGTTCTGACACAGAGGAGTAATCTGGGCATTACCACAGCCATGCTCAACCTCCCTATCAGTCGCTCTCAAGTGCACATAAACCACTTCACACACCTTCTCCAGACATGAATGTCACTCTCCAGAGCAAACAGCAGGTCAGTGAGCAGTCGCTGGTGCATGGCCGACCATTTGAACTCTGGGATGCGGAACATTGTGGTGCGTGGACCAGGGCTGAACTGATGCCGCTGTTCCTCTGTCATGGGCGTACCCCTGAAGCCCAGGTCCACACGTATGTCCCTCTCCACTTGAGGGACTAGGCGGCCATGTAGACCCTGATGGGACACCAGTTAACCAGCAAAATGAATGAATTTGGCATTACATACACAATCACTTATTATTATTATTATGAGATACAGCATACAGACTAGCTGCTGCTCCTATTTCACTGTCACGATCAATAGTGGACTCTTAATGAGATATAATGCTACTGCCATACTATTCACTGTGAAAGATGAATTGCCAGATTAAAGCGGGTCCTAAGATAACGTCTTCCTACCGGCAGGTAACAACAGTAGTGAAAGGTTTAAAAATAAACCCTGCCTCCCACTGGCTCTCCATCAGTGACCCAGTCTAGGTGAAAGAGCCTGACCTGTGAGAAAGAGCACAGCTCATACAAGGAGGGCAAATGAAGAAATCCCAGGTGAATGTTGAAGAATAATGCTTTGTCTATTTGTGCCTTCCTATTGGCTCAGCCAACTATTCCAGCAGCCCAATTTCCTGAATCTCAGAGGGATGTTACCTGATGTGCACCAGGTCATCCTGTCCCCATTATAAGCAGAGTTGGGGAAGAAAATGATTCCTGTGGGTCTGTTATTACAGAACTGGTTCACTAAAGGCCAACACATCCTGACACATCCCTCCTCACTTTCTACTATTTGACCCTGGTGCTGTATGCATTCATGATCATCTGCTGTATACACAAGAGTGTTCATGTTATTTTGACTGCGGTGATGTCAGTGAACATCTAAGCACTTTGAATTGCTTTTGGGGGAAGTTGCCTTGCCTCTACTGTTTCTTTCACAAATCTGAAAATGGGAATTAATAAATGTACTACCTGTTGAGCTTCAAACAAACCTGCGTGGTGGCTGTTGTCTGGATCTTCTTCATCTCCTTCTCTCCATCATCTGATCTTTCAGTGTCAGAAGTGTTGCTTGTTGCATCTGCTGCACTGCTGATCTTAACTGCTGAGGGGTCACCTTCAGCTGCTGCTGCTGCAGCTGTGCCCTCAGTGACCTCCAAGCTTTTGGAGGAGTCTGCCTCTGTAGCGGCCACAGAGCCGATACCCTCGTCAGCTGTCTGTAGCTCAAACTCGTCCCTCTCGAGGATACTGGGTAAGGAACCAAACTCAGAGGTGCCTGTCATGTGAGCTAGAAGGTCTAGCTCATCACTGGCACTGGTGTGCACTGGAGGCTCTGAGCTGGGCAGGCTCAGAGGCTCAGCTGAACTGAGATCAGGCAGTAGCTTGTCCTCCACACTGCCTGTCACCTTGCCAAACATGTTAGGAATGCTGTCCTTGTCCTCATCTAACGTAATGAGAGGGGGTGCATTTTGGTCATCCATTTTGCTCTTTGTCAACAACACACCACTAACATTACTCTTGAGCTTTTCCACAGCTGCACAGTAAACATTATCCAACAAAGAATCCATCTCCACCAGTGCTCCATTCTCAGAGATTCCCAGAGTTTCAGAGGACAAGTCCATGTCATCCATCTTAACTTCTATAGCCTCAACTTTTTCAGCCTTGATGCCAACCAGAAGGTCATGAACTTCGACCCCGACCCCATCTACTGTATCCTCTGTTCCTCTGAGGCCCTCTTCAGGCTCCTTCCCTTCGGCCAGTAGGTTGCGCGAGTCAGCACTTTCGTAGTCCGTCTCGCTCTCGGGTGTCTGGGAGTTATCGTCTATTTCTCTGATCTCAATTGTGCCCTTGATACCAGAGGCCTGAGCAGATAGACCAGAGATGGTGCTGACCAAACCCTTCTTTCCTTTCTTAATATTCTCCTCCTCCTGACGCTGGTATTCTTCATACATCTTAGCCAAATACTCTTTATGTGCCTCATATGTCACCTATAAAAAGGGCAATGTCATAAATGATGTTAACCACATGTGAATGACACAAACCACTGCAAAAATCAGTTTAGAAGATTAACAGTTACAAGATAATAGATTAAAATGTCACAGTTAACAGCAGAGGTCACTGCTTCCTCTTTGTTATACAGTCCAGAACAGTACTCGCCTTAGAGTGGGCTATAGAAAGTGTGTCCACCCACACACGCCATCCTCCCCACTCATACTTGATGGCATGGTAGAGCAAAATACGAAAGATGTTGTACACCATCTCGGTTATCTTCTGCTCATCAGAGTTTTTAGGGTTGATGTAGCTGAGGGAAAACATCCAGTCCTGCCATACAGAGCACTGAAGCAGACACCTACAACATGCACACAATAACAGTTTAAGTAAGTCAAGAAACGTTTGATCATCTTTAACAAGGTTAACATTTATAATTTGCATTCATTTATATTATAGAATTATTTATAATTGGTGGTAAAGGCCAATCTTTTTTCAACAACATTCTACTTTGAGTTTTCTATTAAAATTGAAACCAATTATCATTTCTGATTCTCCTTAACATCTTTGAGTCAAAATAGCATAGTGGTGATATATTTCAATTTATTCACATTGCAACAGATTGTTTTGCTCATTTGGTCATAAACACATACATTATTTGTATATTTGGCAGCATTATATCACACAGCAAAATGACAGCCGAGACAGAAAAGGGGCAGCCAGTAAAAAACTACTGCATTTTTTTTTTTGCGCTAGTAGTCAGACATAACAAAACCCTTTCTGCCTATTAATTTAAGGCTACTTATGTTGTTGAGTCATGTCAGTCCTTTCCTAAGACCTATAATTTAATTGCAATTTGACTTAAAATATATGTGTGTTCATCAGAAGGAGAGG